GAGTGGGGCGGGAGCACTGGCTGTAGGGGGGAGAGCCCATCTCCCAGCAGGGGGCGCTGTGGGGAGTGGGGCGGGAGCACTGGCTGTAGGGGGGAGAGCCCATCTCCCAGCAGGGGGCGCTGTGGGGAGTGGGGCGGGAGCGTACGCTGCGGGTGATGAAAGCCCAACTGGGGCCACGTGGCCAAGTGCTGACCTGTGCCATTGGTGGATGTGATGCTGATCACGCTGTCACGCAGGGTCAGGGCCAGCGTTCTCAGAAGCTTCTCCACTATGGCCATCAGCTCCGTCGCGATCCGGTGTCTCCGCTCCACGCTCTCGCTCTGCTGCCCGACCAGATTTATCTGCTTCTCCAGAATGTCCAAGAAGCCCTGGCCAAGCAAACGTGGGGGGTGTTGGTGTCACAGTGCCTGAGCCCCTGCCGCGCCCCCCATTCCTAGATTGCTAATTCTCCACTGCCTTCCCACAATCCCCCTGAAAGGAAAGACAAGTTCTCCTGTAATTGACATTACTGCCTGGGAGGTCAGACTAGATGATCACAGTGGTCCCATCTAGCCTAGGAACCTAGGAGAGCAGCTTCTTGGGCACAGAGCCCCCTGGAGAGGCAGGCATGGGAATTTCTGGGCAGTGCTGCTGTTTATTTCTCTCCTGTTCCAGGCACTGCATCCCTATAGATCGCCCTGAGACTAGATCAGAGTAGGAGCAGCAATTCCACCCCCTAATGGGAACAAACCCAGCAAGGCCCCGAATTTTGACTTGGCACCTGCAGCTTCTCTTCGGCGTTCTGAGCCTCCATCTGCTTCAGCTCCTCCAGCGCCACCTTGCAGAGACGTCCCACCTGTGCCTGGAAGCTGCCCAGGAGGTTCTGCAAAACAAGGCCCAGGCTTGGCTCAGGAAAAGAGATCACAGAATCGCAGCCCACCTCCCCCCGTCCCGAGAGGTTCCCTCGGCTCAGAAGCCAGGCGCCAGAGGGAGCGCGGGCAATGCCCCGTCTGGCCCCTAGGGGGTGCCCGGCATTTGCAAGGGATGGGGGGGGGACGGCGGTTGCAAGCTGAAGCGAGTTGCAGCAGCCTCACGCTGCTGATTCTGGAGGGTGAGAATCACCCCGGGGCAAAGGCCTAGGCCGTGGCTGGACTGCAGGGGCTCCAGGGACTGGCCACTGGCTCTTTGCCCAGGGGTGAGTTTGGCCCCAGAATCCTTGTGGGGCGAGATCAGTGAAAAGCAACGTGGCACTAAAGGGGAATCGGGGTCTATGCCCCCCACGGGGTCTGTGCCCCACTCACCTTGGCTTTGGCAGAGTTGTCATCATCCAGCAGCCGGGGGCAGGTGAGCTCTGGGGATGGAAAGGGAGGAGGAGTGAGAGATGGGTGGGGGGAAATGTGGGGTCTGGCTGGGTAAGTGCATGCACCAGAGCCAGGCACACAGAGCAGGACTCATTCCCTCCAGCAGGGGGCGGCAGCAGCCCCCCCCTCACTCCCTCTGGCAGGGACACACCCAGCCTATGTCAGTGATATGGGTGTAATAGATCCTCTCCCAGCAGGGGGAGCAGTGACCCCCCCACACACACTCAGCCCCACACATGTGCCCAGCCCCTTCTCCGCATCCTCTGCCCACAAGCTGGTCTCTGTGAAAGGAACCGTCCCCCCTCCCCGTCCTAGGGGAACTGAGCCGCAGTGGGGTGGGGCGGGGGCTGTGGAATCATCCCAGCCGTATCTCCCCTCAACTCTCTCCCCCAGCTGTGCGTGGTTCTGGTGTGTGTTGGAGGGAGGGGGGGTGAATCCAGCAGGGAGCCCAAGGCTGGCCCCACAGTGGCCTCTAGGCACAGACTGCGCCCCCTGCTGCCATCATCCCAGGGCAGAGAATCCAGCCGTGCAGCAGGAATACAGGCACTGCTGGGCAGGGCTGCCTAGAGGGGGGGGGCAAGTGGAGCAATTTGCCCTGGGCCCCGTAGGGGCCCCCAGGAGAATATAGTATTCTATAGTATTGCAAATTTTTTTTATGGAAGGGGCCCCCAAAATTGCTTTGCCCCAGGCCCCCTGAATCCTCTGGGCAGCCCTGCTGCTCGAGGGGGGAGAGACGCCCAGCCCCTGGCTGCCCTGCTCACCCCTTCCCCAGCCTGCCCCTGCTCCACTCCCAGAGCCAGACCTGGGCACGCTGGTGGCTGTGGCTCTGAGACAACCGGAGACACCCCAGTGGACGGAGAGGCTGGGCTGGGACGGTGAGAGCCTGGAGTCTAAGCCCTCCCCGGGCCATGGCTGAGACCCAGAGGGACCCCGTCCATGGGGGACAGGGGGGCTGGCACTGTCCCAGACCAGTTCCCAGCTCGCTGCCCCCTCAGGCGAGACCTCTGCCTGTGTAACCCCAGACCCTCCATGCCCCCAGCAGCAGGACCCACCTTGGCACAGGGTGGTGCTCCCGTTGAAGCGGACGTAGCCGGCCCGGCACTCACACCAGTAGCTCCCATTGGTGTTGATACACGTGGCGTTGGGGCCGCAGATATCTGGGGTCTTCTTGCACTCGTCGATGTCTGAGAGGGGAAAGCGGGGGGGGGGGGGATGTCACACACAGCACAGCTGGGGGCGCATGGGGGACGAATGACCATGGAGGCACCCCCCACCGATTGCAGGGGGTGTGGGCTGTCGGTCAATCTGTCTGCTCCATCTAACCCCCGCATTCTATTCTCCTTTCTTCCCTCATATTTGCAGGGCCCCAATCCCCGCGGCGCAACCCCTCCCCCACCCCCAGATCACGGGGCCCAACCTTTTCCAGACCAGGACCCTGCGATCCCCTCCCTGCACCAGCCCTGACAGAGCAGGGTTAAGGGGGGGCCCGATCAGCCAGTTAAGCTGCAAAGGGGAAGTGACTTAGGCTGCGTGCAGGGCACTAGCTAGAAGGAAGCTCGCCTGGGAGGGGACAGGTGGGGCTTCTATACATGCGGCCAGGCCCTGCACGGCTGGTAAACGGGTTGTTTGAAGGCAGCTGGATCCAGGGGATCCCCCTATTCCTAACACTGCGCAGTGAGCAGCGGCCCGACAACGTCCATTCCCGGACCCTGCTGTGACCCCCAGGCCCAGGGCCCTGCGGGGCGAATCCACTGAGCCCTCGGACGGATGACGCCAGCTCGACACTCGCTGCCGATCCGGCCTGTGGAAGCCGAAGCCGGAAGAGACCCGGCCAGCCTGACCCCCAGCATAGCCCCAGCCGGAGTCGCCACCCAGCGGTTCACCAATCCGGCCCCAAACGCAGGGGACTTTACGGCCTTCACTGCCTCCTGGGGCCTTTCACCGCTGTGGACAGTCTGATCTGACAGATGGGCCCCGCCCTGCCCGGGCACAGAGAGCCCTGCCGTGATCTAGCCAAACGCTGGAGGGCCCAGTAGCATAGCTAGTGGGGTTCAGGGGAAGCAGCCGCTTCCCCTGACCACATTCCCCAAAAGTGGCGCCTGCAGAACGGGGCCGCGGTCTCCCGGTGCTCCGGCTGGGACTCGGGCCCTGAGAGCGTGGCCGAGGGTCTCGGTGCCCCGGACAGCGCTCCGGAAGGGGAAGCGGGGTGGCCCTGCGCATGCGCCGCTCCGTCTTTCTGCGGTATTTCGGCGTATGCGCAGGGCTGCCAAAAAGCCACCGAAGGACCGGTGCCTTTTTTCTCCGCCGGTCCTCCTCGGCTGCAACCGTGGCTATGCCACTGGGAGGGCCGTGCACCCATCAGGCTGCCAATGCGGGTAGCGCCAGCTGCCGGGCAAAGGGGGATACACGGGGGATGTCGGGGCTCCATGGTGCAGCGGGGTCACTCACCCCATGCAGGGAGTGGGGTTTTCTACCTAGGGACCCGGCTTGTATGTGCAGAGACGCACTCGTTCCGGCCAGCCCCTGAGGAGCCTGCAGTCCTGTCTGGGGCAATGAGAGCTGGAGAAGCAGAGCTGGGACGAAAACCCCTTGAAGTCAGTGGTGCTGCACCAATTGACACCACTGGGGCTCTGGCCCCGGCTTTGTGACCATTTCACATACAGCAGCACTGAGTTGGTGGCGACGCATGGGGGATGGGCGCATCGTCTGTCATTCCCATGACGGAAACACCCGGAAATCCCAGCCAGGAACGAGTGCTGGAATTGGACACTGCTGTGGGGGCGGGGAGGGGGGGGCGGGAGAGACGCCCGGCCCCTGACAGCCCTGCTCATCCTCCTCCCCGGCCTGGACCCTGCTCCGCTCCCAGAGCCAGACCTGGGCACGCTGGTGGCTGTGGCTCAGAGACAACCAGAAACACCCCAGTGGATACACAGGCTGGGCTGGGGGGAGGTGAGGGCCTGAAAGCTGAGCCCCCCCACCCAGGGTTGAAACGCAGAGGGACCCCGTCCATGGGGGGCAGGGGGGCTGGCGCACCGGCCCAGACCAGTTCTCAGCTCGTTGCCCCCTCGGGCAAGACCTCTGCCTGTGTAGCTCCAGACCCTGCCCAGCTCCCCTGGTGCCCCCTCCATGCCCCCCGCGGCAGGACCCACCTTGGCAAAGGGTCGTGTTCCCGTCGGAGGGGACATAGCCGGCCCGGCACTTACACCAGTAGCTTCCGTTGGTGTTGACACACGTGCCGCTGGGGCTGCAGATATCTGGGGTCTTCTTGCACTCGTCGATGTCTGGGAAGGGACAGCGGGGAGAGGGAGGAGGGGGTAACACACAGAAGGGCTGGGGGTGCATTGGGGGCAAATGACCATGGAGGCACCCCCCACCGATTGCAGGGGGCATGGGCTGTTGGTCAGTCTGTCTGCTCCATATAACCCCCCCGTTCAATTCTCCTTTCTTCCCTGCTATTTGCAGTGCCCCAATCCCTGCAGCGCAACCCCTCCCCCACCCCCAGATTGGGGGGCCCAACCTTTTCCAGACCAGGACCCTGTGATCCGCTCACTGCACCAGCCCTGAAAGAGCGGGGTTAAGGGGGGGCCCGATCAGCCAGTTATGCTGCAAAGGGGAAGTGACTTAGGCTGCGTGTAGGGCACTAGCTAGAAGGAAGCTCGCCTGGCAGGGGACAGGTGGGGCTTCTATACAGCCCGAGGGCTGGGCCCAGTGGTGGGGGCCTGAGGCGAGGGGGGCTAGGAAGCCCCGAGGGGGGTAGGAGCCCGGAGGAAGGGTTTCGCTAGCAGGGATAGGAGAGAGGGGTCTGACTTTGAAAGGCTCCCCCAGAATGGGGATCACAGCGTGACCTGACCGGACGGCCGAGACACGGGGCAGCCGCGACTCCGGGAGCTGCAATCGTGGAAGAGGAGAAGGGGGGCGCTGAACTGGAGCGAGCCGCCAGAAGGGGGCGCCACACTCAGCGTTACAGACCCCAACCTGATGGGTCCCTCCCCGTTCAGGATACACCCAGCATCGCCCCTCCCATGGAGCACTAGGAGAAGGGTGGGTGGGGCCTGGAGGCTGAGCTCCCCCGAGCCAGGGCTGAGACCCAGAGGGACCCCGTCCATGGGGGGGAGGGGGGCTGGCGCACCGTCCCAGACCAGTTCCGAGCTCGCTGCCCCCTCAGGCAAGACCTCTGCCTGTGTAACCCCAGACCGTGCTCAGCCCCCCCAGGTGTCCCCTCCATGCCCCCCGCGGCAGGACCCACCTTGGCACAGGGTCGTGTTTCTGTTGGAGGGGATGTAGCCGGCACGGCACTCACACCGGTAGCTCCCGTTGGTGTTGATACATGTGGCGTTGGGGCCGCAGATATCTGGGGTCTTGCAGCACTCGTCAATGTCTAAGAGGGGAAAGGATGTGTGTGTGTCACACACAGCACGGCTGGAGGCGCACGGGGGGTGAATGACCATGGAGGCTCCCTCCACCTATTGCAGTGGGCGTGGTCCGTTGGTCAGTCTGTCTGCTCCATCTAACCCCCCTCCCCATTCTATTCTCCTTTCTTCCCTGCTATTTGCAGGGCCCCAATCCCTACGGCAAAACCCCTCCCCCACCTCCAGATAGGGGGGCCCAACCTTTTCCAGACCAGGACCCTGCGATCCCCTCCCTGCACCACCCCTGACAGAGCGGGGTTAAGGGGGGGCCCAATCAGCCTGTTAAGCTGCAAAGGGGAAGTGACTTAGGCTGCGTGCAGGGCGCTAGCGAGAAGGAAGCTCACCTGGGAGGGGACACGTGGGGCTTCTATACAGCCCGAGGGCTGGGCCCAGTGGTGGGGGCCTGAGGCGAGGGGGGCTAGGAAGCCCCGAGGGGGGTAGGAGCCCGGAGGAAGGGTTTCGCTAGCAGGCATAGGAGAGAGGGGTCTGATTTTGAAAGGCTCCCCCAGAATGGGGATCACAGCGTGACCTGGCCGGACGGCCGAGATACGGGGCAGCCGCGACTCCGGGAGCTGCAATGGTGGAAGAGAAGAAAGGGGGCGCTGAACTGGAGCGAGTCGCCAGAAGGGGGCTCCACACTCAGCGTTACAGACCCCAGCCCGATGGGTCCCCTCCCCGTTCGGGATACACCCAGCACCGCCCCTCCCATGGAGCACTAGGAGAAGGGTGGGTGGGCTGTGCCCAGGGGAGTGCAGGAGAATTGGGTGGTGTCCCTTTAATCTAGTTTCTTTGCTCTCTGGTGGCTCATGGGGGTCGATGGCAGAAGCCTGCAGACCCCCACATGCGGCCAGGCCCTGCACGGCTGGTAAACGGGTTGTTTGGAATCCAGCTGGATCCAGGAGATCCCCCTATTCCTAACACTGCGCAGTGAGCAGCGGGCCCACAACGTCCATTCCCGGACCCTGCTGTGACCCCGTTGCCCAGGGCTCCGCGGGGCGAATCCCCTGAGCCCTCG